GAGGAAACTGGAGTCATTGGAACAGGGAACGGCACTCCTGGCCGTGACGAGGGAATTGGAGTCATTGGAACAGGAAACGGCACTCTTGGCCGTGACGAGGGAACTGAAGTCATTGAAACAGGAAACGGCACTCCTGGCTGTGACGAGGGAATTGGAGTCATTGAAACAGGGAACGGCACTCCTGGTCTTGACGAGGGAACTGGAGTCATTGGAACAGGGAACGGCACTCCTGGTCGTGACGAGGGAACTGGAGTCATTGGAACAGGAAACGGCACTCCTGGCCGTGACGAGGGAATTGGAGTCATTGGAACAGGAAACGGCACTCCTGGCCGTGACGAGGGAATTGGAGTCATTGGAACAGGAAACGGCACTCCTGGCCGTGACGAGGGAACTGGAGTCATTGGAACAGGGAACGGCACTCCTGGCCGTGACGAGGGAACTGGAGTCATTGGAACAGGGAACGGCACTCCTGGCCGTGACGAGGGAACTGGAGTCATTGGAACAGGGAACGGCACTCCTGGCCGTGACGAGGGAACTGGAGTCATTGGAACAGGGAACGGCACTCCTGGCCGTGACGAGGGAATTGGAGTCATTGGAACAGGAAACGGCACTCTTGGCCGTGACGAGGGAACTGGAGTCATTGGAACAGGGAACGGCAATCCTGGCCGTGACGAGGGAATTGGAGTCATTGGAACAGGAAACGGCACTCCTGGCCGTAACGAGGGAACTGGAGTCATTGGAATAGGGAACGGCAATCCTGGCCGTGATGAGGGAATTGGAGTCATTGGAACAGGAAACGGCACTCCTGGCCGTGACGAGGGAACTGGAGTGGAATCTCGTGCTGATTCGAGGACTGGAGCAGACACCACCGCCTCGGGAGGTTCTGCAGCGGAGGCTTCCACCTCTGGGGAAACGGGGGTGGTGTGTGTGGCCCAAACACATAGAATGGCGACTGCCATTACAGGGAGCACTGAGTCCAGGGGAACAGTCTCGGTGATGACTAGTGCTGAGGCCCTTGGGATGCCCGCTGCTCTGCCCGACATCAGCAGAACATCCTCCACACTGGATGCCAGTCTCGGACACCTTGGAATTGACCTTGAGGCACAGGGCATGGTCGACACGACAGGACGAGACTCTGGAACGGCGGCCATGACGGGATGAGACTCTGGAACAGGTAATGATAACACTGGACTGGCCATCACCAGTGTGGGGCTTGCTGGAGACCATGGTTGGCCAAGCTCCATGGCCACCAGAGCTCCCTGACCATAGTAAAAGCCTCCTCCCCTCCCAAAAGATGTTTAAGGGTACCGTCCTTCTCGACAGCCCCTACCATGAAGGGGGAACCACTTAGCAAAAGTGCATAGTCCATGTACTGTTCTAAAGTCAATTCATTATATCCAGTGGGCATGTATGATCTTAAAGGATAATTTAAGCCAAAACAGTACAAGTCTTTAAACACGGCATCCTTCCAGTTCAAACAGTTAGACAAAGCACAGAACTGACCAGTGTACTCCTCGATAGTGCTGGCCCCTTGACGCAGGAAAAGGATTTCCTTCGCTGGATCCATGATTAGTCTGGAACACTCGATAAAGCTGCTGGGTCCGGGTTTGGCTCAGTATTCTTTAACATGGGGACGTGACAATGCAGTTGAGGATCCAAATGCAGGCTTTATTGCAAGAGTGGTCAAAACAGGCAGGGTCAAACAGCAGCAACAGGTATAATCCAGGGCAGACAAAAGAGTAGTCTAAGAAACAAGCAATGGTCAGGGCAGGCATCAAAAAATCAGAAACAAGATAACAGTTCAGGGTCAAAAAACAAGGCAAGGCAAGAAAACAAGGAACACGGAAAACACAGGCACTAGGGCTAAACATGAGCTAAACAAAGGCTAAACAATACTGAGCAATGTGAAAGAGAAACCAGGCTATAAATAGAGTGAGACAGATGAGGTAACAAGACACAGGTGTATGCAATCAGTGATGATGAGTCCAGGCAAAGGATTATGGGGAATGAAGTCCTGGATAAAGTGGCAAGAGTCTGTAATGGAGTGCCGAAGCTCATGGGCACACCAGATAGAGATCGTGACACATATATATATTTCTCTAAATATATATATATATATATATATATAAAATTTAAAATGCCTTCTCTAATGGTCTGATTTGATATAATACTGTTAACTGTTGCCATATTTTACTAAATTATATAGTAATTAATAATAATAATAATAATAATAATAATAACTATAATAGTATCTCAGTGACACTAAAATAACACTGCCATGCACAATCTCTTGACATGACAGAAAGCATATATGTGTAAATACAGATATTACCTAAGCACAAACAAGTTCAGATTGCTGGCTTCATTTTGCCATTCAGCTGTAACAACTTATAAAGTTTTCTGAAAGATTCACCATGAAAAAAAAATGAAAAAAAAGTAAAAGAACCTAAAACTAAGTACCCCATTAAAGACTTGTTTTTATTTTGATGAGAAAAGTGATAGCCTATGTAAAAGTAGCAATTCAGCAATGGATTTTTTCCCCCTCTTTTAAAAAAAAAAAAAATGTTTTACAGAATGAAACGGGTATATTATAAAACGTGAGTTAGGATATCAGTAGCTACATTACAAACAAACAAACAAACAAACAAAAAACAAACAAATAAATAAATAAAGGGCTATCGTCTGGACAAAATATTTTAATAAATGTACAGGCCCAAATGAAGCATCCCAGTTGATACGTTCCTGCTCTATAGGTTCCTACCGCGCGTATTCTATAGAAATGACGCGAGGCGTGGAAGCTGAAGCGTGTGGTCGGCGTATTTTGACTGTTGTTGTAGGCTGTTGTCAGTGACATTGAAAGTGCTCTTCGCTGAGGCTGTGACTCGAATAGCAGTCTGGCTGACACTAGTTACGTAGATCGAACGACAGAGCTCGTTTAGGAATTTAACAGGAAATTTTTGGAAACGGATCATCATATTTATCGGAAAGTACAGGCGGTTGAGCACGACTGCTCCGTGAATGGATTGGAGGTAGGTAGGTGGGGGGAAATGGATTATAATGATGGTATGTACGAAGGAAGTGGAGTGGAAAGGA